GGATGGTTCGCCTTCAGGCTGTCTCTTGAAATATTGGAAAATTTTGATCTCCAGTCTTAAAAAAAAATAAAGCAAAACAAAACAAAAAAACAAAGAGCCTCATCCGCAGCCAGAGCCTGGCAACAGGACAGGAAATTAAGTTGGGAAAATCAGGAGACTTGGCTAGAATAGGGAAGTATAAATTATGTTATTTGGGAGCTAGATCAGTGTTCTTAGGAGACAAAGAAAGGATGTGGAGTATCCTGTACCCAACTTTTCTTCACCTTGTGCAAAAATTCTGACCTCTGCCAGTTGGCAGATGAAGCCTCAGAGGCTGCTCTGCGGTGCTCCCTGAAGACAAGTCTCCTTCAAAGCACTGATTCTTTCAAAAGTCTCTACAAAAAGGGAGACTTCTTCCCCTTAGCTGGGCCCTGCCAGAGTCTCTGTGCCCCCTTCAGGAATAACCCCATGAGTTTGGGACAGCAGGATTAACCCCACCCCCACTTTTTCTATTCACAGACTTAGAACAAATAAAATTGACCTGAGATTTTTTTTAAATGATCCTGACAAGTACCTTGAGGATGTTCAGAGCCAGACATAGATTTGTGAGATGATAGAAAAAATCTGTTGCTCACTTTAAATCAAACGCTGACAATAAATTGGAAAAAAAAACAAAACACTATCCTAGATAAGGCAGAGGCTTTTGTTTTTTGGGGTGTTTTTTTCTTTTTGCTTTTTGGGTCACACCCAGCAATGCACAGGGGTTACTCCTGGCTCTGCACTCAGGAATTACTCCTGGCAGTGCTCAGGGGACCATATGGGAATGCTGGGAATCGAACCCAGGTCGGCTGCGTGCAAGACCAACACCCTCCCTGCTGTGCTATCGCTCCAGCTCCCAAGGCAGAGGCTTTTGGGAACCAGATGGCTATTGCCTGTGTCAGGGTTCACCCTGAATGGTACTGCCTTCAGCAAGATGGTAGAAGATTCTAGCCTGGAGAAGAGGGTGATGAGAAGCGTCACATCTTTTAACTACATCCAATTAACCACCACTGAGTAAGAACCTAATGAGAATCCTACAGACTTTTGGGAAAGATGTAGGGAGACTCTTAGGAAATAAACTCTATAAATCCTGACTCTTCCAAGAGGGGGAAATTTCTCATTCTTTTCTCTGTTTTGTTTGTTTTTGGACCACACCTGGCAGTGCTCAGGGATTACTCCTGGCTCTGCACTCAAGGGTAGAACTATACAGTGCTGGGGATGGAGCCAGGGCATCCACTGGGAGTGACCCCTGAGTGCAAAGCCAGGAGTAAGCCTTAAGCACTACCAGGTGTGGCCTAAATATCAAAACAAAAGAAAACAAAACAAAACACAAAAAAGCGTTGGACCTGGTTAAACAGGATGGCCTGATTGCTTGCAAGCAGTGGCAAGCCAGGGCTTTGTCAACTTAGGGGATCTTCAGCTGAGTTGAGGAACCTGCTTTCAACTATTCAAACTCAAATAATGCCCTTCCTAAAAACCAACAGCAGCTTCTCAGAGGAATAGTTGCCTCCTCAAATATCATGATTAACTCTTGGAAAATCCAGACATGACTTTAATACCACGTACTACTTTTTTTTTTTTCCCTCCAGTTGATCGTCGATTTGCTCGAGCAGGCCCAGTAACGTCTCCATTGGAGACTTTGTTGTTACTGTGTCTGGCATATCGAATACTCTTGGTAGCTTGCCGGGCTCTCCGAGAGGGGTGGAGGAATCGAATTCGGGTCGGCCATGTTGGCCGCTTGTAAGGTGAACACCATACCGCTGTGCTATCGCTCCAGCCCACGTACTACTTAATTCTATTTATTTATTTAGTATTGAGGGGCCATACCTTGCTGTGCTCTGGGCCGACTCCTAGGTTCTGCACTCAGGGATCTCTCCTGGTGGTGCTCAGGGGACCATATGAGCTGCCAGAAGTGGTTGGAAGCATGTCACTTAAGCACCCCACTCACTGTACTATTTGTTGGCCCAATGCTTTAAATCCAGATACTTTACTTCCTATGCCAGGCCCCTCCTCACAATACAGTTTTATTGTACCCAGAATGAGCTCTGTCTGGTAGCTCTCTGGAAAACCTAGACCAGATTTTGTTCACCGGTGGCAGCTCTTTTATAGAACCATGCCCCTGAGTCTGTGTCTGTGGTCATCACTCCGCTGCAGTGGTGGAGATGGAGCTCTGCCAGTGGGATGTTTCCCTGCTTGGAGAATTCAGAGCCCTGGCTAGAGTCCTGGCCCTAAGCTAGAAGAGGTCTGCAGAGACCAACATGGGCTCTAAATATGCCTTCTTGGCCTTTTGTGCACATGCGATCATTTGGAAGGAAAGGAAGTCTCATTAAGGACAACTCTCAAATCCTCTTTGGAAGCTGCTCATATGCCTACAAGGGAGGTGGTCGCTTTTGGCTGAGGTCACTGAAGACAAAAGCAAGAACAAAAGGGCAGATCAGAAGTTAAAGGAGCATCCTATAGAACACAGACTGTTGACAAGAGGATAAGAGTATAGGTATGAGTATGACTTTAGAAAGGGACTATTTTTTGCCCCAGCCTTTCTTGTGGAAGGCTCTCAAAGTTATTTTTGTTTGTTTGTTTGTTTGTTTGGGTTTTTTTTTTTTGCTTTTTGGGTCACACCTGGTGATGCACAGGGGTTACTCCTGACTCTGCATTCAGGAGTCACTCCTGGCGTGCTCAGGGGACCATGTGGGATGCTGGGAATAGAACCCGGGTCAGCTGTGTACAAGGCAAACGCCCTATCCGTTGTGCTATCACTCCAGCCTTAACTTTCAAAGTTTTCTACATGACACCTGTGACTTGCGTGGAAACAAACTTCATCTGTCACTCTGTCCTTACTGGGAAAAGACTAGCTAGTACTTTGGACCGAGTTTGTCAGAAATCTGTGCAAGTGACAATCCACAAGGTCTCAGCCACCCACATTGGTTAGCCACACTCAAAGGCCGGGCGTATACCTGGAGAGGCAGGCAATTGGACTGTGCTCAGTTGTCCTCATTGTGTCGGTTCAAAGTCTTGCTAATCTTGGTGGACATCTCTAATGGATGAATAGAAGCATTCCCTACCAGGACTGAGAGAGCACAGGAAGTAACTAAGGCACTTACCCCAGAAATAATCCCCATATCCAAGCTATCCTGAAGCTAGCAAAGTGATAATGGTTCTTTATTCACTGCAGAGATAACCCAACAGATGGCCAATGGTGTGGAGATTCGGTATTATTTACATTCTGACTGGAGACCTCAATCATAAGGAAAAGTGAAAAACGAAAATCAGACCTTAAAGATACAAACCAGAAAGCTAAGTCAGAAAACTTGTCAAAATTGGAGCAGGTTATCCCTCTGGCTTTGTTTCAAATGTGCACTCCCTCATCCACTGATTTGGGACTTCACTCCTTCAAAACCCTATATGCGCTCACTTATTGCTTGATTCGGCAATATTTTGAATATTTTTATTTCAGAGGCATACACTTTTCTTCATTTTTCCCCGAACACACACTCCTAACGTTTGATCAACAAATACTCCCTGAGCCCCAAATGTCCTCTTAGGAATCTCTTTATTCCCTAGGTACTTGGTACTAGTCAAAGTTCACCAAAGTTGGCTTCAAGAACATGCTCTCCGTCGAACACGTATTTTACTTGCTTGCACATATATTTCTTTTCTTATGGTAGATTTCCATTCTGAAGTAGCCTGTATTCTCTCTTGAACACACACTTCTTCCTTTCTCCTCCCTCACATATTTCTAAGTAAGTTTTACCAACACTCACCAGAATTACAAACTCTCTCCGGAAAGGCCTTTTCTGGCTCTTCTCTCCACTCACATGCAGCAAGACTCCTGGGATGCAGAGCTGAGTTCTTCACTCTCAGATGGAAAGGTGTGTTGGTCCTTCACTCATGGAGGTGGAGGACTGACTCGTGTCTCATCACCAACAGAGACTGAAAAGATGAGAGATATCAGTCCCAATATCTGGAGCCCCTAAACTTCCCTTCAGAATCTTCAAGTCAGTATATCTAATTTGCTAATTTGTCCCTTCTGATGATCACTTCTTTTCGTACATTTCTTCAAATGGCTACACCATAAACCAGCAAGCTGCTGCCCTTAAGACCTAAGTTTCCTCTTAGTAAATCCTATTTGTGTACTTTAGAACTTCCAAACTTCAAAGGATCCTGCTCTTTCTGCTGGAACACCACCCACTCCCCTCTGGACAGCCAGACTTTGGTCACAGACCACTAGATCGTCCATGGCAGATCCTGGCTGTCGGTCCGTGGGAGAGTATTAGGCAGGCGAGATGGGTTTTCACAGGGACGGGCAGGAAGGAGGGAGCAAAGGGGGAACTTGTTAGACTCCAGGGCAGAAGCTGAGTTCTCACTGACACCTTTCACACCTGGGGCAGACAGAAAAAGACTTTTAACAGGTACCCAAGGAGAGAACGGGCACGGAACTACACGCTACAACCAAGTTAGCGCTGCCTGTGGTTTCAAAGTCCTCTTTGCCGTCCCCAAAAGAGCTGGTCTAGCAAGTTGCTGGGTTCTAAGTTCTAAACTGCCCCTTTCCCAAGAGAAATAAACTTAAGAGGCAGTGATACGAAGGGACTCCCGAAGCAGGAACTAGGTAGAATGTACAGAGGGGAAACAGATCTCCGCGGCGCTCCCCTCAAACACCGCCCCCTCCCAGCTCCGCCCGGTGTGTGTATGGGAGGGGGGGCGGGGGCGGGCTTTGCATTTCACTTTCTAATAAAGGCTGGTCTTGCTCTGCTTTGGGGTCCCCGCGAAGTCTTTCCCAGGGCTCCACACTCATCAGCGGACGCACCCTTCTTGCGACACTCAGCAGCTCTAGCTGGGAGCGCCGCGCTGGGCTGGCCCCGGACCGCGGCTGGCGGCGGGCCCGCGGGTCGGCCCGCGGCTCCCTGTCCCTCCGCCCCGCCGCAGAGCCCGAGCTCGGGCCACGCGCACGCTCCGCGGCTCCCCGCGGCCCGCCGGCGGCCCAGGTCGCGCGCCCCTGCAGGCTCCGCTGGCCCCGCGCCCCCCGCCGGCACATGGAGACCCCGCAGGAGCCCGGGCCGCGCCGCCCTGCCCGGGGGGCTCCTCGCCCGCGCTGCGGGCCCCGCTGCCCGCCGCTGACCGGCTTCCGAGAGGAGCTCTGGGAACTCCTGGTCCTGGCGGGCCCCGCGGTGAGTTGGGGACTCCGGGGCACGCCGGTCGCGGCAGCGTGGGGACCTGGGACCCGTGTGGCGCCGAGCGAGCCGTGGCGAGCGGCCCGGGGCCGGCCGGTGCGAGGCGACTGTGGCCCTCGGGGGGCGCGGCCAGCGCTGCGGCGGCCACCGTGCCCCCCGGAGCGCCCGTCCAGACTTGCCCGGATTCCGCGGGCGCGCGGGCCGTCCGCTGCTTCCCGGTAGCGGCTGCTGCACCCCGCGCTGCCTGAACGTTTGGTGCACATAGCTCGACTTGAACTAGCGGTTTTGTTAGGAGGGGTGCGGGGTAGATACCAAGAAGTGGAATCGCTGGGTCATTTGGAAGTGTTACTTTTTGAAGAATCTCCGTACTGTTTTCCATAGTGATATATATATATATATATATATATATATATATATATATATATAACGGAATACCACTCCGCTTTAAGGAGAAATGAGATCTTGGAGTTTTCTGCCTTGTGGAAGGAACTGGAAGGGTGTCGTGATCAGTGAAATAACAAATACATTATGATTTCACTCATCGGTGGTATATAGACAAAACAGCATCGTAATGACAAGGTGGACTAGAGGTGACATTGGGACAATGGTGAGGGGTCTTGGACACTTTTGGTCTTGGGATGTACAGTAACTGTACATCAACACCAAAAACAGCAACCGTGTGACCTAAACTATAGCACTGTAGTACTGTAGCACCGTCCTCCCGTTGTTCATCAAGTTGCTCAAGGGGCCCAGTAACCTCTCCATTGTGAGACTTGTGACTGCGTTTGGCATATCGAATACCTCACAGGGAGCTTGCCAGGCTTTGCTGTGCTGGCGAGATACTCTTGGTAGCTTGCTGGGCTCTCCTAAACTATAAGTTAAACATAAATATTAAAGTACATAAATATTGAACTTAGAAATAAAATAAGATCATGCAGGAACCTGATGGTTTAAAAACTAGCTGTTGAGTCTTGGAGCTCAGGTATGTAAACATTGTTTTCGAGTTGTGGACAAGGAAGGTAAATTGTCACAGATTTAGATCTCCAAAATAATTTCTTTGGAATTACTGATAGAATCAGTTTCTGTCTGGGGAAAGCAGGAGGATCCTCTCTCACAATTCTTCCTCCAAGTTATTTTAATAATTTTTAAAGCCCTTTTGGGTGAAATAGAGCCCATGCTTTGCATGTATGAGGCCCTGGGTTTGATCCCCAACTTCACATCTTCACATTCTCTCTCTCTCTCTCTCTCTCTCTCTCTCTCTCTCTCTCTCTCTCTCTCTCTCTTATACACACACAGAGAGAGAGAGAAAGGGAGAGAGGGAGAGTTTCTAATTTCCTGTTTTGATTTTGGGTTGGGCATCCATCTTTCTCTTTTAAAAGCAATGTGGGTTTTTTAAACCACAAGGGCCACAAGAAATATAATCCAATCAAGTGTTCCTGCCAGGGGGTGGTGTCCAGTGGGCAGGGGAAGAGAGTCATTTCATTGGGCAGAAAGGGCCTGGTATGTTTTTTAAAGTGAGAATAAACTATTGACACAGGGTAGATTTTCCGCACCTGCAAATGCTAAGGTGGACAATTGTGATCTCCTGGCATGCGGACATTCCATTCTGCAGGATCCTGTGAGGCACTTGCGGCCCGAGTAATGTCAGGGACAAAGCCATGCATGTAAGCCCATGAAGCAGGAAGAATTGCTGAGGTTCTCTTGCAAAATATATTGGAAGAATACCTAGACTGGAATCTCATTCCCTTTGACCCATTTCCTGCTTTGATCTCAGAAGCTGATTCACGAAACAGCTAAGTGAATTTGAGTAGTCTTGGAACCTCTTCCAATCTCTGCTTATTCATTCATAAAATGATAATAATCCTTGTTTTTTTCCAACACTCTCTTGCAGAACTGCTGTAAGAATTATTGGGGCTGTAGCGATAGTACAGCGGGCAGGGCATTTGCCTTGCAAGCGGCCGACCCAGGCTCGATCCGCAGCATCCCATATGGTTCCCCGAGCACCGCCAGGAGTAATTCCTGAGTGCGGAGCCAGGAGAAGCCCCTGTGCATCGCCGGGTGTGACCCAAAAAGCAAAACAAAACTAAACTAAACAAAAAGAATTATTTCTGCAAGACTGTCATTCTAACAACATAAAAAATAAACACACCAGCCATTGCAGTGACTTGGTACTCTGGTGTAGGGGTCCTTCTGGTTCCTGGGATAAGCACTAGACATGTGTATGCATGTATATGACTGTTTGTTACCAATGAACAAATTCCTCGTAGGAAAATGAAGACAAAAAGAAAACCTATAAAATCTCATTGAGATGCTTTGAAAGTTTTTTTCCCCCAGTGTTTGAAAACATTTGTAAGTAACATCTTCCCCCAGGGAGGTCAGAGTTCATACTTTATAAATTTCTTGTGAATTGTCTATGCTCCTTTAAGTCTTCATCTCGGTTCCCTTCTACTGCAAGTTTTCTATTTCACCCACTTCTTTTCCCTGCTCAGGGTCCTGCACTTTACTTTTCAAGACACCATAAGAAGTTAGGGGGTAACCTGACCTGCAGCTCCTGTCTGATTTTTCTCTCTCCCACTCACGTTCTCCACTCCAGGCTTCACCTGTTAACGCTGAGGTTTGAATCTTGTTGGGACTCACCACTCTCTCACCAACCTTTAAATGAGGCTTCTAAGGAGGGAGGGAATATCTCAGGACACAAAGAAAAGAGTGTGAGATGAACCACGTGCAACAGAAAAGATGCTATCCAAAGATGTTTTCCATTTGTCCTGCAGAGAGCTTGAGGAAAATGATTTATGTGGGAGGGAAGGTTGAGATTACCTAGCCTCAGGCCCTTCAATCTTTCTCTCTCATCATCACCTCCTCCACAGGCTGAAATGTCAGAAAAGGAATCCTGGAGAGAATTAATTGCTCCTCACCAGTCTGGGCTCTGCGTAGTATTGGCAAGGGTATAAAAAACAATAGAATTCTGGGAAAGAGAAGACTTGGGAGAGAGCTGGAAGTTTTCCTAGAGTTTTGTAGGCAGAAAAAATCCTAAGAAGGCCCTGCTATTAGGGAGATGAGGGGTAGTGGTGAAGGAGAGACTGGTTGGCTACAGAGGAGGACAAGAAGGCCCTGCAAAGTCATATCCATGTCCTGGAGATGGGGATTAATTTGAGGAAGTGCCTCATGACACTGTAAGATCTAGCAGGAACAAGATATTCAGGGCAGAAAACTCTCTAGGTGAACCGATAAACGCCTGAAAGGAAACTCTTGTCCATTTGGGAGTGCTGAGGAAGTATTCCATGATGGATTGGCTGGTCAGGGGGAGTGGCATACTCCAGGAGTACCCCTTTCTCCTCCCTATCCTCACCTAGGCCTGATCATCTTCTCTGTATCCCAATCTGGACCACTGTGGTCTCCAGCTGAACTCTCCCCCTTTCAGCTCACGGGCCCAAAGTGCTCTGCCTGGAGCTACTGAAATCTTCTTCAAATGCACATCAAGCTTGTGACTGTCTTTCCTCGGTCTTGAAGTTACGCTAAGACTTGGCCACCTTTATCTTGCTTCATTGTCTCTCAGGCACTCCAGCCTTGCATGTCCACCATGTCCACCACCTTGCAATCTCTTGTTACTCTCTTCCCTCAGTCAAGAATATTCTTTCTGGGCAGAGGCCACCTTTACCTGCAGTTCATCATCTGGGTTTCAGCTAAGTGCATTTCCTTCAGGAACCGTCTCTGGTTCCTGTGCTGTCCTCACAGTGCACCTTTGTTCTTTGCTGGGCTTCTCATCCGTGTCAGCTCTATTGCACATGAGGATGCTTTTGGAGCAATACAGTTTCCATGGAGTAGGGATGGAGTCAGGTTTTCCTTACTTGGACCTTTACTACTGGCGTACTCCCAGGACACTGGGCCAAACTAGCTGGGAGTCAGGGGACTTGGGTCCTAGTTGTTCCTTCACACTGAGTAGCCTCATGACTTTGGGCTAGTTACCTGTTGATGTGGCACAGGGGGACAGATTTATATTCATAACCTCTCTTGGCATCTGCCCTGGGAGCATTCTTTGGAAGCTGCCAAGTGGTAGAAGTTTTATTAATTGCTACCTGACCCAAAGGATCTCTGGGACAAGAAAGGACAGAAGTACAGGGTGGTTATTTCTGTTGATACATCTGAGCTACTTTGAGTTGAGTTTGTTGTTGAGACCGTCATTGAGACATCTGGGGGATGGAGCCTTTGCCTAGACTTGGTTCATTTCCTGCACACAGCACCATGCCCTGTGATAGCACAGTATGACAGGGACTGGCCCTAGTTGACTGCATCTTGAAAGGATGTAGATAAGGTGGAAGTGGGATGTGTTGAAAATCCCGTGGCCCATGAGACTCTTGAGATTGGCAGAGGCCCATTGAACACCACCTTGTGGATCCTTCTTTGCAGGAGTCACAGGCTGTGGCTAAGAGCGCACCTGAAGGGCCAGAACTCAGAACCTGAGATTAAGTACACGGTGCATGGTTAATAAATATGAATTCTGGACCCAGAAAAATCTTGGGATGGAGGTTCAGGAAGGAGCCTGCGTAACTCCTATCACCTGAGCAAAACTGCAATGGCCCCCAAGTAAAAGGAATTTTAGCTTGTGACAGCTGTAGTAGATGCATCTCACATGGATCAGCTTCATCCAGCTAGACTTTCTTGCTTTATCTAAGACATTTAAGCCATTCCCTCCCTTGGACTGGCTCTTGCCCGGAGAAAATGCCTGTCCGCCCCATGGGAAACTGATTTTCCAAGCAGTTCAATTTGTAATAGAAAATCTGGGAAAAGGTTCAGGAGATGACAATAGAGGAGACTTAATAACTTTTCTTGCAAAGTCACGACAACCAGTTTAGGGGCCTACAAGGAGACAGGGCGGGCAGATCCACCTGTACCCCGAAAATACCAATGCAGCGATAGCCTGATGACAGTGGCTAGCACGATTTCAGAGCGATGCTGACAGCATAAAAATAAATGGCTCCCATGACCTTTGCATTATG